TGTGTGTGTGTGAGAGAGAGAGAGAGAGAGAGAGAGAGAGAGAGAGAGAGAGAGAGAGAGAACATGAAGAAAATGTCACTGCCTGGAAGAGATAAGTCAGTGCTCACTCACTTTATTGCCTTAGGAGCCTTGAGGCAAAGTAAGAGATCAGGGTAACCAATGCCACCCACAACCTCCAGGGAGAACAGCACTGTGGCACTGTGGCAGGGTGGTGCTGACCTCCACTGGTTACAGTTTCAATGTGACTGATGGCTAACACAAGAGAATGCCATATAACTTTAGTTTTCCATTTTTCAGAGGATGGTCTGCCATAGTGGATTGTATTCTTCAATTCAATTCAAGCTGTGCCCTTATTGAAAAGGAATTTGTTTCTAAGCTCATTCAGACTAGAGGAGGGGGAGGGAGAGGAGGAGGGAGAGGAGGAGAGAGAGGAGGGGAAGGAGGAGGAGGGGGAGGAAGAAGAGGAGAGTGACGTTTCTTGCAGTTGTAGAGCTGAGGTCCACGTTTCCTTACAGGCAAGGGGTCTTTCTCAGCTCCTTGAGATACTATGCACATAGTCTACCGTGTGTGTTCCCATCCCATCCCATTTAGGTCAGCCATGGTGCATTCAATTTCCCTCATAGTTCAGGTCTCCCTGACTTTCTCTTCTGCCACCAGCTAGAGAAAGCTCCCATTTTTTTTAAAAAAAGGGATTTCTGTGTGGTCACACTAAACCCACCTGGATAGCGTTGTGTTTAGGTTAACGCAACATAATGCATAATCCTAAGAGTTGTGTGTGGTGTAGGGCAAGATATCTCTGTTAGGTCACTTTACAAATTCTGCCATCCACAGTTGCTGCCAGGCAACTTACATCGCATTATCCTGGACCCTCTGTTAGTCCTTGCAACTGAAGGAAGGCATTGATCAAATCCTGACATTTCCTTGTAGGCATTAAAGAATAAAGAGTCTATGACGAGACGTTTGGATTACTTCCCACATTTGATAACGCAAACACACTGGGCGCAGGACGTGTTCTGTTCTCTTTACGAGCCAGAGGCACAAGCGCCACAACTCTAAGAAGGCATTGGTGAGCGAATCCTGCTGTGTTCTCAGCAACAGACCCACTCTTCCCCACAAGATAGCAGGAATGATGACTAGCGGGCAATCTTCGAATGGCCGGGTCTCTTTGCCCTTCTTGTGCACAGAGTAGTGACCCCAGTGGGTTCCGTGACTGGAGAAGGGAGCTTGCCATATGAAGCTCATTGGTCTTCTAAGTAACTAGAGGTAGAGTCTGTCTCGGCTGCTCCTTTAGCCCAGAGTTTAAAAAAAAAAAAAAAGATGCATTTTCCTGGGAATGATGTCTGTGGGCCAGAGATCAATGAGGCACAGAAGAAAACTAAGTGAAAACCTGTATCTGGCAATGGTGTAACTGCTCCCCACACTGTCCACTCACCCACCATGTTTCATTATTTTTCTACATTAAACATTAAGGTAAAATTAAATTTAGTGCATAGCTGCCTGTCGATATCCAGGATCCCAAATCTAAGAGACAAAAGTCATTAAGACACTTAGAAGAAGTATAAAACTGCAGGCTTTATAAAGTCAGGCTCACCAGAGACAGGATGGCAAAAGAATTCGGCCAAGGACGGGAATGGAGCCTGTTTATTTCCACACGTCTAAACTATTAGCCTTCTGGACAGTGTCATCAAAATCAAGTAGACAGGACATGCGTGAGGCGCAAGGGTTATGACGGCCTTTTCTTGCCTAGACACATGAGACACCAAGAGACAGCAGCTCCTGAGATACACTTAGCACTCTGGTGTGAGGAGCCTGACGCTACCACCTCAAACAATACCAGCAGAGACACAAAAATCTATCACAAATGCAGTGGAAACTACTAAATCATGGAAACCACAGCCCACAAAAACAGGCCACAGTCAACATGTCTAACAAACACAGTGGCAACATGCCAAAACAAAAGACTTCAATAGGATCCAGAGTCTCTAACACAGCAGAGCGCTCAGGGCACTATTTAAAATCACCACTTAGGGCTGCAGAGACGGCTCAGTGGTTTTAAAAGGCCCATGATGCTCCTGCCGAGGACCCAGTTCAGTTCCTAGCACCCATGTCAGGTGGCTCACAGCTTATAAACTCCAGCTCCTGGGGATCTGAAGCCCTCTTCTGGCTTCTGCGGTTACCTGCACTCATGTAAGTATATCCAGCACACATACATACACATGTACACACACACACACTATACACACAACACATACACACATACAACACAGGTATACATCACAACACATATACACATGCACACAAAACTAAAATAAATATTTTTCAAATATTATTCACTTTTCTGTCAAGAAGTAAGGAAAACACACCCTGAATAGCAAAAGGCAACAATGAAAATCAGAAATTAAGATTATTTGATAAGAATTTCAAAGACGCTGTCCATAAAAAATTTTTGATGAATAAATACAATTCTCTTAGGGGAAATAAACAAATAGAAATAAAACTGATAACTCCCTAACATGACTGAATAAAAAACAAAAGGAGAAGACAGACACAAATCATGATGTCAACAGACATGTCAGACATAACTACAGATCTTGCAGCAACTAAAAAACCATAAAGGAACACAATGAACAACTTGCCTTATAATGTAAGAGTTTAGAAAGAAAATGACCAAATTCTCGGGAAAAAAATCATGAATTTCCAAAAATCAGACAAGGTAAAACAGATGATAAGGATATCTTAAAACCACGAGAAATCAAGCTCAGAATGAAAAATCTCTTTTCAGAGATTTCTGGGTCCAGTTGTCTCCATGATAATGTTACACAAGACACAGAAATTGCATCACTTTCTTCCAAGAAAGGAAGAGGAGAAAAAACTCAACCCATTTGATGAGGATGGTGTTAGCTTGACATGGAAACTCGGAAAACAGTCCTTAACAAGAAAGAAAATTGCAGACTAGAAACTTTTATGAACTTTGACATGAAAGTCCTCAAAATATATCAGCAACTGGAGTGATAGATTACAATCACTGTACACTGAGACCATTTAGGAAATATTTAAGGTGTTGTCTTAGTTAGCTTGAACTGACAACTTGACACAGCCTAGAGTCACCCGAAAAGGGACTCTCAACTGAAGGACTGTGCAGATTGGACTGGCCTGGTGGGTAGGGGTCGGGGATTGGGGTGCAGGGGAGGAGTGGGAGTGTTATTGGTTGGTGTAAGAGGACCGGCCCAGTGTGGGTGCCACCGTTCCTTGTACAGTTGATCCTGGGCTGTATGAGAAGCCTAGTGAATTATGAGCCTGGTAAAGCAGCATGCAGTGTTCCTCTGTGGATTTGCCTCAAGTCCTTGCTGGAATTTCCAACCTGATTCCCTCAGTGGTAGACGCTAAAATGAAATAAAGCCTTTCCTCTCCGAAGTTGCTTCTGGTCAGAGTGTTTGATCACAGAAAGCCAACTAGAAAAAAATATATATAAGGCTGCTTCAGTATTTGAAAACAAACAACACCATCTATAGACCATCAATAGACCAAAGAAGAAGAATCAGATATCAATTGACATAGAAAATGTACTTAATGAAATCCAGTACCCATTCATGATGAGAAATAAAAACCTTCCAGAAAGTTAAGTGGAGTACATTCTCAGCTTGATAAAGAATAGATGAAAATCTGCACAGCTGAAATCTTATTTAATTGGAAAAAATCCTTTTCCCCAAATACGGGAAAAAAGAAAATGATGACCATTGTTACCATTATTCAAAATAGTACTAGAAATTCTAGCCACTGAAATGAGGCAAGAATGTGTAATAAAGCCAGAAAGAATGGAGATAAGAAACACAAAAGTATCCCTACTTATATGGTATGACCCTAGAGAACATGACAAGAAATCTACTCACAGTAGAACTCTTCAGCAAAGTACCCAGTTACAGAGTCAACAAAAATCAGCTACTGTATTTTTATGAGATATGCTGAAAATTACAAAATGCTACTGTTAGACATCAAAGAAAACCCAAATGAATGGAGAGAAATTCCATGCTTATGAGTTGGGTGATCTGCCAAAGAAAATCATACAATTCATGCAATTACTAATGAATCCCAGAGAGTTTTATAATAGAAATGGACAAATGTATTCTAAAATTCACACAAAAACATCAAGGCCTAAAATAATCAAACTATTCTTTAGAATAAAAACACTAGAGAAATCGTTGTCTGTGATGTTGATACCCAACAAATCAAGACAAAATGGTATTGGCACAGGGAAGAGAATGGATCAATGGAACAGAACACAGAAAATAGATTTAATGTGCATAAATATGTTCCACTGATCTTTACCAACATGTAAAATTAATGAAGTATCGAGTTTTCTAAAAGGATTTGTTTTTATTTTGTGAATATTAGTATTTTTTCTGTAGATATACATTACACCATGTGCATTCTTGGTCCCCATACCACAAAGGCCAGAAGAGGATGTCAGATGCACTGGACCTGGAGTTAAAGAGTTGTGGGTTGCCATGTGGGTACTGGGAACCGAACCCAGGTCCTCTGCAAGAACACATCTCTCCAGCCCTGAAGTATTGTTCTTTTGTTATTGTTGTGGGAGGGAGTACAGGGAGATACAGCTAAAATTAAGGGGCATTTGAGGGATAATATGAAAACCTAATACAGTAGAAACTTCCTAAAATATATACATATGTGAGGGCAATCTAAATGAAATCACCAAATAATGGGGAGACAGAGTCTCAACTGGCCATCTCTTGTCACCAAATGAAGTTTCCAGTACCAGGACTGGGTTGTATCTAATTGAGTTGTTGGCCAAAGGGATCCCACGAAAATCCAAATAACCCAGGCTGTTGCCAAGACAGGTGAATCTCCACAAACTGACAGCAAGTCCCCGTTGCTGAAGACAACACCTACACAACTCATTGAAGATGGAAATGTCAAGCTGGTGTCTACATAGAGCCTTCCTTCACTCCTATGTTCCATCATCTTTGGAACTGGAATGTACTCAGCATGCTCTCAAAAGAGAAATGTAAAGATCAAGCCAGCCACAACCCCTTACCTGCAGTAGTGTCCTGCCTACAAGATATGCTAGGGCAATGGCAGCACAAACCTTGTGTGAGTAACCAACCAATAAATGATTTGACTTAAGGCCCACTCCATGAGATGGAACCCATACCCAACACTGCTTGTGTAACCAAGAACCTGAGATTAGATAGCCCGGGGACCTAGGGTAAACCAAATAACACTGTGAAGAAGAAGAAGA